CAGGAGTGCTCATTAGCATGCTGCTTGGAAAGAGGACATGGCCCGGTAAACATGGAGTTCCTTCAACGCATGCTGTGCTTTGTTGTCATGGCAAGTTGTGGTGTCGATAGGATGCTCTTACACAGAGCATGTGACAGTCCCTCCGTAGAAGAACTGTGATCCAGGCTCTGAGACTTTCTCTTCTCCAGGAGGAGGTTGCAAACGTTATTTTTGTCAGAGCAGCTGCAGCACACCTAAGTGGAGGCCCACAGCTAGGCTAGAGGGCAACCTTTAGCCAGGCCTTCCCTGGTGGTCTTGTGGTTAGGACTTAGCGCTCTTACCGCTGTGGCCTGGGTTCAATTCCTGGTCAGGGAACTTCCTTTTCACCTCCATGGTAAACTTCGAGCAGTGTTGCCGATGATCTCTTCACGAAAGCAGCTCTGAACGCAAAAGATATCCTTCGAGCCGCACTGTAAGACGTAATAAGACACACTCTGGCACAGACATCCAGTCTGCACGCTGGAATACACACTATTATCTCATGGTTAAGACGCAGCTTCAAAAATTAATTTCAAACCGGAAGTACAAATTTGCTTGAAATAACGCAAAAACAACCAATTTACACTTTTTAGTGAAATATTTGTGTCCTAATAGTGTTTTTAGCAGTGTGGGACACATATATGACTGTCAACAGCTCAAAAAAAGTGTTTTGGTGTTTCGTGACCCTTTAAGGTACAAATGGTAGAGAAAATACACACATAAAAATCTTACTTTGTTTTTCTTTTAACTAAGTATATTTTTATTTGTTTTGTTGTTTTGTCTCAAATTATTTTATGTAGGACACAAATGCCTCAAATGCAGCTTTAACATCATTGGAATAAATTATATTTTAACATATTCAAATGGAAAAGCTAAGATATTAAAAAGGAATAATTATTTACAAGGTTACTTTTATATCTGCATTTTTATAAACTAAAGCAGTTTTGTCCCAAACCTTTGAAAAATAGTCCATGTTGTCTTTATATTTTTAGATGCTTCATTTATTACTGATTTTACTTTATGCTTTCAAAATATGTAATTATGCATTTGAAGTGATATTGTGCTATTTTGCTACATAGTAGAAGTGAACTAGTTTTGTTTTGTGTTAAAGCCACAATGGCCCTGCATAAAAGTGCTTTACTGGGACCTTATAGGCACATTTTGTGCCTGGACTCAACTTAGTATTAGTGGGACCTTACTATTTTTTTAATTACTAAATGCCCACAGAGCATGCTCATAGGACATACTTCTGACCCAGATAGTATACCTATACTTCGCCCATTGTGGCTATATACACTACACTTTGTGTGGACTTGCTATGGGCCCACAGTGAACGTCTGTTTTGAGTGGGCCAGCCCACAGTTTGGGCTAGCGACATTGTATATGTTTTTGGTATAGACATGTTAGTTTGGAAATTTGTGCATTAAACATTCAAAACTATTGTATAATAGGCTAAGAGAGACAATAGAAAAGCATATCTTAATTAAGATATAAATTGGATCCAATTAAAATGTTGCAGAAATTATCCTAAAGGATTTTTATGTATTGTACTTTAAAACAATCCTATAGGAATGGTTGCAAAATATGATCAAAATTCTAATTGAATTCCTTCAAAGAAATCCGATAGAACGCTTCTTTTTTGTCTGTATAATCGTACAAGTTATACTGATTTAGATCAGAAGTCCACAACATGTTCATTAACTGAAAACACAGCTGAATGTGCTACAATTAACATATAAACACCCTAGACAGCACAGCACATCACCACTGCTTTTTCTGTGACAGACATAGGTCTCATCTAGGATTTGAACCCAGGATCTCTCGCACCTTAAGTGAGAATCATAGCATGAGACCAACAAGCCCTGAAGAAGAGTCTTGTTGAAGGCATACAAGAGATACTTGATAGAAATTAGTGACATGGCCCAGTGGCCTAATGGATAAGGCACCAGCCTTCGAAGCTGGGGATTGTGGGTTCAAGTCCCACCTGGGTTGTCTTTGATGCAGTTCATTTGAAGTTGGCTGTGCAGCACAATCCAGTGTGACCTTCAAAAAGCTAGGTTCATACCCTTAGGTCAAAAAGACATGACAATGGAAAACTCGTCAGAGAAGCTGTTTTGTCATTAGGTGTACACACCAGATCGTCTGAAAGCAATAGGGATCCTGAAGTGCTGTTTTCTGAGTTACAAGAACTTCTTGAGCCAGACACTTGGGGACGTGCAAATTTGTTATCTTTGTTTGGATTCATCGGATCTCTTTCTGCTGCTAAATTAGACCAAAACAGTCATTATTTCATAAACAAATTGTAATATATTTTACATTTTTTATAAACACGTTTCACTCTCTTCTCTCCCGATGGCGAGTTATAAAGGTAAAGTTTTTTTTATATTCACACATTCGTTCATTTAGAAGTCTCTATATTGTTTACCATTTAATTTTGAATATTCGATCAGAATTAGCATGCAAGTATGACTTAAAAACAACATTAACACTGTTTATTTGACTGTGACCAATGTTGTACTTTGATAGTCATTGGCTGCTAATATGATTTCGCTATTTAGAGTTTGCAAATAACACTGTTATTATATTATACTACCAGAACTTTTAGCAAAGGTGAAACTTTTTTTTTCTTTACGACAAAATAATTATGCCAGAAATGTTTCTGGATGAGGTATTTATGTGATTTATACATAATAGGGGTGTTCTGATTGGTCTTAAAGCATCACTAAATTGTGCAGGCATTACAGGTCAAACAATTTGTTACATTTATCAAAATAAACAATAAGGCTCTTAAAGCACTGCTTTGAGAAATGTAGAGTCGTCATATTTCAAATACCTCAAGTGAAACGAAGTCATTTGTTTTATTATTTTATCACTGACAGTGTCCTTGTCCTTGTGTAAAATTATTTCAGTTTAAGATCAAGTGTAAAATAAAATGTTGTATAGACAACAATGAGCAAATAGGACAATAGTGTACAATATGTAAATAAAACCCCAAATTTAAATCTTTTCATCATATACTTTAATTAAACATTTCAAAGCTTGGAAGTATTGTTTACAAATGGACAAAAAGTGTCTCTATGGCCTTTAAAGTATGTGGTAGTTGTGCCAGTACTATTGAAATTGAGTCAATGTCATGAAAGGAAAAATCGACCATACTTTGTTAATGCAAATTCATATATGTAGCCTTGTGATGTAAGCAGTTAAACCATTTAAATAGTTTTATTCTTAAAAAGGGCCATAATGAAAATCTGAGTTTTTCTCAAAAGTAATTAACTAGTACTCAGAGTAGTTTTTTAAAAGAGTAATTTGTAATATATTAGTATTATTTACTAAAACTTGTCATCTGTGAGAGAACATCAACAAATAAAATAAAAAAATCACAGGCACATTTAGTGCAGGCTTATTATATTATTAATATATGATCAATTATTATTGTTGTTAATAAATGTTTTTTTTTAATTGTATAAATCGATAGATAGTTCCAATGCAGTATTTTTATTAATTGCTGAGAAGACATTGCAGGTGTTCAATACATTGCGTGTCAATTTTGGTTTATTATATTCTTAATTATAAATATATTATTAACTAATTATTATATCTTATTAACGTTTTCTTTAATAAATCAATAGATGGTTCCTATGCAATGCTTTAATGGGTTGCTGAGAATACATTTCAGGTGTTCAATACGTTGCGTGCCAGTCTTGAAAATAAAAATAGGTGCTGGAAAAAGTGCTTAGAAAACCTTGATTTTTATTAGGCTGTGTCTGTATGAACTCTGTATGAAATCAGTGTCACATTTTTTATCGTTTGGTGATGGTAAATTAAGATCTCTTGGTCGTCAGATCATGTGATGTATTTTGCTGAACTGTATTCAAATGTTATAAATGTAAAAACATCACATATTGAAGTGCAACTGCCGTATGTCAATTTAGTTTGTGTGTGCTGCGCTCAAAGACTTTAGAAAACGGCGGAAAATCTAACCCTTCAAATAAATTTTTATGATGGACAGAAGTTGCAGAGGCTGCAAACGTATAATACATGAGGCCGTATTTAGTTTATATACACTATATACAAATGCAATTGACCAGCTTTTGGGGGTGGGGGCAGCTTGCGAAAGGTTGAGAACCCCTGGTCTATTAGGCTAGTTTAAATATTATTTCAAGATGTCACTATGCAGAGTGAGTGCATTTCCCCTCCTTCTCCTGGTTAAAAGATAAAGCTCTGGAAGTTGATAAAATCAAATAAACCCAGCCTGGTTATGGCGATGTTAAATGATTTGACAATGTTTGATATAAACCGTTAAGTTTACTTTAGTTTGTGATCAACTCTGGAGCAAATGCAGCATAAAGTGTGACGTGCAGCAAACAGCCAATCTCAAGACACATGAGAGAGTCAGTTTGACTCATTTCTCCAGAATCAGTGCAATTCACTTCTTTGTTGCAGATTATAAAAATATCAAAGTATAAAAATATAATAAATCTAAATACATTTACAATCCAGAAATATACACTTCTGATGCAGCAAATGTTCAAGACGGCAATTTATAATATAATATCAGTGCAAATCATTCAACTTATGATATAGATTTAGCTTAACAAGCTTTTTTTTATTAAAGCTAATTTATATGCTTATTTAAATGTAAATTTTCATACAAATAATAATTGGAATTATCAGATAGCTGAAGTGCTTCAGTAGTCTGTTAAGTACTGAAATTAGCATGTAAGCTAACAAATGACTCATGTTCTCATTCACTGAAGACACGGGGTTTCCCATACACAGATTTATTTGTAGTAATATGGTAATTTTCACATTATTGCATCTTTAAAGACAACAAGTTGTGTACAGAGAGTGTAATTGTTTTCAGAAAGAAAACTTGTTTATTTTCTCAAATTAGTCCATCAAAATAAATGTGTAGTGTTTTGAAATCAAAGTCTTCATTTGTTACCCAAAAACATCAAGAGTTGATCAAGAATAAAATCTCACAATCTGACACAAATCTGATCTGTGGTAACTGGCAAATGGCATTGTCTGAACAGGGCTTCAGCGAGTCTGTATCGGTCGCTCACTGTCATTGCCTTATGGCGAGTTCACACCACACGAGTTTATCCACTAACAAGTTTTGTGAAACTGCAGACAAAAGCACAAAATTGGAGGCAAATCTTTGTTTGTTCAGGCGAGTGACAATCAAACAATGTGAATAATCAAAAACACAATCTAAGGGTGTAGGACAGTGTTCCCTGCATCTCCTCAAATATTTTCTCCTCCCTAATCTTTCTAATTCTCTTTTCAGAGCCGATCATTTGATTGGTAAATTAATTAACTATTTGCAAATGTGCACTGTGCACAAATATGGTTATTGGTGCATATTATAGTTAAAACACATTGTTATATGTTGCTGTATTTGTCTTAACCGTTCTTGTGTGGCTTGCCAATGTATAGATGACTCTAACAGATGAAATAAGGAAGCTGACCAAAGTTCTTACAGGGAGAAGACTTTATTGAAGACAACTAATAGTGTAGGTCCTCATCGGTGATGTTAACTCATCCGTCTTCAAGTACCTTAAACCAAAGTACAGTCTGTGAGACACTACTTTATAACAAACGGCATAACTGCGTAACCAGGGCCGGCACGGAGAGAGAGGGCAGCGTCCGCGACACCTGCCTTACCACCCGCGTCCTCAGTTATGTCTGCAACACCTCCCTCACCACCCGCGTCCTCAGTTATATCCGCGCATAGGGCGGCAGAAAAGAGGTACACGATACCTTGCTTCATTTTCATAACCGGTCACTTTCGTTTTCACATTGGGGTTTAGGGCGGCGTGACTGTCTTCTGACTAGAGCGGCAGTTCAGCTTGATCCGGCCCTGCATGTAAGCAATAACTGAGGTAAAAAAAACTCTGGTTATTTATAGTGAGTTTGGAATCATCTGATTGGTAAATCATGTTTTAGCTAATGCTGGACCAGCTGTGGACAATCATAAGCATGTGATCCTCTCAAAAGTAGTTTATAAATAAACTTCACTTGAATGAACAGCCAAACTACATGAAAAAGCTGCCGTTTTGAATATACCCGTGTTTGTGTGGACAAGGCCTCATTTTTCAGGACTCTGCTCTGCATTGTGAAGCTTCAAGTGAGCGCTGAGGCTTCTTTTATGGGTAAAGCCCTTTCCACACTCACTGCATCTAAAATGATCCTCTCTTGAGTGAGTCTTCATGTGTCGCCTAATGTAGTCTTTGCGTGTGAGTTTAATTCCACACTGATCACATGTGAACACTATGGTTCCAGTGTGACCATTCATGTGGTTCATGAGGCTAGTTTTGGTTGTGAAGCTCTTTCCACACTGATCACATGCAAACGGCTTCTCTCCGGTGTGAGTTCTCATGTGGTGTTTGAGTGAGCTTTTATATGTGAAACTTTTACCACACTCTGTGCATGTGTAAGGTTTCTCTCCGGTGTGAATCCTCATGTGGATATCAAGGTTTTGTTTTTTAACAAAACTTTTTCCACACTGTGTGCAAGTAAATCTTTTCTCTCCAGTGTGAGTTCTCATGTGGACTTCAAGATTGCCATTTTGCTTAAAACTCTTTCCACACTGAGGGCAATAGTAAGGCCTCTCCTCAGTGTGAATTCTCATGTGCATTATCAAGTTTCCTGCATGATAGAAGCTTTTTCCACACTGTTGGCATGTGTACGGCCTCTCTCCAGTGTGAATTCTCATGTGGGTTTTAAAGTTTTCTTTTTGACAAAAACTCTTTCCACACTGTTCACAGGTGTAAGGCTTCTCCCCAGTATGAATTCTCATGTGCACTGTTAAGTTTCCTATAGTATAGAAGCTTTTTCCACACTGTTTGCAGGTGCAAGTTTTCTCCCCTTTGTGAACTCTCATGTGAACATCAAGCTTTGGCTTTTGACTAAAAGTCTTTCTACGCTGTTTACTGCTGAAATTACACTTAGATTTGGATTTCCGAGGTCTTCCACGTGATGAAGTCTTTTTAGTCAGTGTGGGTTTTTCATCAGTCATTATGTCTTGATGTTTCTCTTCCATTTTATTCCATTGATGAGTCTCTTCTTTCAGCACCATCAGGTCTTAAAAAACAACAAAAAAGTGAACTTTAGTATGAAGCCACAAACCGATAAGCATGAAATGGATGTTTCACCCACAAATAAAAATAACCAATTAACATTTACTCTCCGTCATGTGGTTTTAAACATTTCCTTTCTTTTGAAACACAAAGGAAGCTTGCATTTTTTACAATATCTTGTGCTCAAAAGAACCAAGGGAAAACTTATTAATGGAGAGTAAATGGTGAGGCTAATTTTAAATTATATTATATAAATTATTTTTACAAGATGTAAAATAAGTCTTTGATGTTCCCAGAATGTGTCTGAGGTTTTGGCTCAAAATCAGATCATATACCTTGCAGAATATTTCATTTTGGGGGTCAGAGGAAAACCAAGCTCTTTTTGTGCCTGTGGCTTTAAATGCAAATGATCAAATGCACTCGCTTTAGATTACTCAGGTTGTGTTCCCTTATGTGTATCTTCCACTGGATTTAAACATTTGTAACTTGCTTAGAAGACCCGATTGAGACAAATCCTGCATGTTCATAGCAAGTACGCATAATTCAGCTTATATTAGTGAGTTTGCATTATTGTAAATAACTTATGCAAATGTTTCCCAGTACTGGTTTGCAACTGGACAGGTATCCGCTGTTGAAAACATATGCTTGATAAGTTGGTGGTTCATTCCACTGTGGCGACCCCTGATAAATAAAGGGACTAAGGAAAATGAATGAATGAACTTTTGCAAAAGCTTAATGCCACGTTTTCTGTAAACTGTGATAAGGAGATGGCGAGATGACATCCCAGGTGGAAAAAAATATATAATTAAATGCAATTAAAATACACTTAAATACCCGCAAATACATTTTTAGTACATTGTTATTTTTTGTGTTAAATAAAAGTTTGATGGTTTTACACTATAAATATACTAAATAAGTATGTTTATACTTCAGTAGGACTTTAGTACACTTGACAAAAGTATATTAAATACCAGTAATACTTAAATACATTTTTAGTGTACTACAATAAAGTACACTACAGAAAAAAACACCAAAAAGAGTTTTATTAATGTGTTTTTCAAAAGTGTGCTTTAAATGCTTTAAACATTAGTTGATTTTTAGTACAATGTTTAAGATTAAAATAAGTTAATATATATAAAAAATATATTAGTAATGTATTATTGTAGAAGTACATTTTCCCAAAAGTTGTACTTAAGTACACTTAATGTGAATGCAATTATCACTAACACTTAAATTGATTTTGAGTGTGGTAATCTTACCAAAACATTATTGTCTTGAAGTATGTGTGTGTTGTGGGTCAAGGAATGATCAGGAAAGCCAAGAATGGGCATGCAAAAGGGATGATATGTTTGTGTATATCCAGTGTAGTCAATAATATGATAATCTAAGGATACATATGTTTTACATTGCATATTCTAAAATTGTTCTGGACTGTTTATCCTTTTACTTAATTATCTTTTGTCTAACCAATTACGTGAGGATGTCTAAACAATCTAATGACATAGGTTTGTTGACTCTGTTAGCATAAATATCACTGTATCCTGAATGTAAGGAAGGTCGACCTGTGGAGCTCATGGAGAGTGCTGAAGCTGATTTCTTGCTTTCAAAACTACAAAAAAAGTAATTAAATTTCCTTCAATTTTATTTAATTCCTGACTCTTTGTTTTTATTCATCGCAACTGGTCTTTCACTGTTCTTAAAATGTACTTAATACTTATTTTTAGTACATTAAATACAAAATTAGTTTGGGAAAATAGAGCACTTTTAATACAGTATTTAGCACACTTTTTTTACAATTTGTAAATTCTTTTAATTTATTACTATTATACTTTAAATTAGTCATAAATATATTTAAATGTTTAAAAGTAGGGTTTAAGTGTATTTCTAGTTGTAACTAAATATATATATTTTTAAAATACAGATATAGTATGTTAAAAGCACATTTTAGTTCAATTTCAGGGTGTCTCAAAATAGCACAGTTGGGCAAGCAAAGAGATCCGCATGCTGTAGGCTATTACATAAATGCGAACTCAACTTTTAATACTGCAGTCACAACATTTGTCATTGAAATAACGCCACAGGTAGTTGGTAGATTTGTGTATAAAAGGCCTGCCGCTACAGCTGGAAAAAATCCTAAAGGAAACACTGATATAACTTATGCAAATGCTTCCCAGAACTGGGTTGTAGCTGGAAGGACATCCGCTGTTTAAAATATATACTAAAAAAGATAGTGGTTCATTCCACTGTGGTAACCCTTGATGAATAAAGAGACTAATGCTGAGGTCAGACTGCATGATTTTCAAAATATTCGTGTTACGGATGTTTTTCTCACTGCATGACTATCTGGTCTAGCGTTTTGGCACTGCTTTGTTTACAATGCAAGATGGATCAGCGACAGGGAGTTTCACGATGCACGACTTTGCAAAAGGACAATTACAGACAACTTTGTCCAAACTATGTCTCACAGCCAAAAATACATTTATCTTTTGTTATTAACTACATAATGAGAAAGAAGCCTTTAATGGGGTAGAAAATGTATATATTTGCTCCCCTGGCATGGTTTCCGCTACATTCATTCTTCCATGGCAGGTCACCACGACAAAATTCATCCCGCCACGGCTACATTACAGCTTCTCATTCAAAACATTTCATTTTTTAATAGCCGGTAATAACGTATTAAACGCCAAAACGTATTAAAAGGTTGAGTGAATTATAACCGCGCAAACTTCTCTGTAATCGTAGTAGTGCTGTGTATTATTTGTTTACCCCGTTAAGAATAAGTGCTGACAGACTGACTGGCTGACTGACAGATGCGTGAGGCCAGCAAACACGATCTATAGGCGTTTCACTTTACTTCAGGACGCATTAATATCGCTCTGTAGGTCTATTAGAGACATTCATAAATGTACAAGCAAAGAGATCTGCATGCTGTAGGCTATTACATAAATGTGATCTCGACTTCTAATACTGGGGTCACGACATTTGTCATTGAAATAACACCACAGGTAGTTGGTAGATCTGTCTAAAAAAGGCCTGCCGCTACAGCTGGAAAAAATCCTAGAGGAAACACTGCCTGGGTTTTGAAGGGAACTAGCAATTTCTCTTCAACTTTTTCCTTTTTTGGCCCAGTTGAGCCAAAGGAAAATGAATGAATGAACTTATGCAAATGCTTAATCCCAGTTTGCTGTAAACTGGAGTAATGAGGAGATAGCAAGATGACATACTTTGCAACTTGTTTTCATTCACTTGTACTTTTGTCTTTTTATTTTTGCCTTTGTGCATGTCCCGAGGCTTAGCTGAAGTCCTACATGATGACATTTTACATACCTGACAAGATGCAGAAATGGCATCAAAAAAGGTGACCTGCTGTTAGTCTAATCAGGGACAGTGACAACATAAATATACAAATAATAATGTTAACTCGGTGGTTGGGAATGTGTAATGTCTGTTAATGAACATCTAGGATTATTTGTTGGCCCCAGGTATAGATAACCAAGGATTTTGTTATTCAGAGTGGGAATGACTCAGGATGATCCATTTGAAGTGTGAAAAGCCCTGAGAATACTCAGCATCAGTTCTCAGCATAAACAGAGCACAAAGACAAACAGCGACATACAAAAATTGTCAATCATGTCATAGCAGTGACTTGATCTCATATGCTACTGTTTTAGAACTTCCAATTCAAGTGCCTATTGGAGAAATGACCAGGAATAATAAATGGCAGAAAACTAACACTACTTGCTCTGCAAACAAGTGTGTTCATGACTATACATACAAACAAAAATAATAAAAATAGAAATTTTGACTTTGCAACATTAAGCAGCATTAGGCAAGGGCCAGTATAAGATTCTAATTCTAATAACCTTGAATAAAAATATCACAGTTTCACGGTACTGTGATTACTGCTCTGAAATGAATTCTTTTTTATATGTGTGGGTAAAAAAACAAACACATTTTCCCTATGAACACAATATATTTTCTTTTGAGAAACTTTGAAAGTATTTTGGAGCAGTAAACATGTCAGGCTGAATAATTCTAATGAATCATTGACTTTTGCTATCTTCATTAGTTTCAGAAACACAGATTTCTTTATGATTTAAAACGGCATCTTTTGAGATCTTTTCTGTGGAGATACTGTTGTCCTGAAAAACTTAAAACATAAAAACCATACATATACAGTAGGAATAATATAGCAGAATATTTTGGCAGCTTTATACCTTGAAAATTGTTATCGTCCCATGCCTAAGCAGCATAACACTGTTTTTAGTATCTAAAAATTAATTATTTAAATAAAGTTTCAAGCAAAAAGATTTCAATGTCTGCTGGTACACAAAGAATATGGTCAATATTTTGATGAACTTTACACTCAAATGTTTGCATATCATCAGCATGCTGTAATCCATTTCTTAAGCAGCAAAAGTCAATTTTAGACTAGTTTGTTGGCCAGTTGTAGTCAGTGCAATGCTAAACATTATTGTTCTACTATAATTTGTTTATTTTGCCTCATGTTGTCCCACAACATCATCATATAGTTTAGATTAATGTACAATGTTTTATAATAATTAATTACTTTAGTGTCCATTTCATTCAGCATGTTTAAAATTGTGGGCATCCATGTTTTTGACATGCTTTAAACCAGGGTTTCTGCAGGTTTCACCAAATAAAATTTAGGACTTTTTAAGACCATTATGAATGAAAATTTATACTCATGAAGGGCTAAAAGCTAAGGAATTTTTCAAATGGCCCAGATGAAAATGGTTTTTATTTGCCCTTAAAAAATATTATGATTTTAATACATTTAATAATACAATAATAAATAAATAATATAAAATTACAATATTTTAGATATTTCTTAGCAAAAGATTTTAAATATTGTGTAAAAACAAGCCTTTACTTGTATCAATACACTTTTTCTAACATAAACTTTTAAAATAATAAAAAATGAACAAATGCTTTAAAAGTTTTAAAAACTATAATAAACTAAATCTATGCACAACAATCTGTCCAGGTCAATGTCCTCAGCAGTAAAGACATGGAGCACGTTTAAACAAATTTTTATTGTAGGGAAAATAATTAACATATTATGATAATTAGATAAAAAAGACATTTTTTTAAATAAAAAGTTTAAGGTTTTATTGAGATAGATTGTTGGTGATTGTGTGGGTTTTGGCCAGATTGGGTAACAAAACACGAACAAAGGAAAATGAAGACTTGTTTTGAAAAGATTTAAGACCTACAACACATTATTTCAGTAACTTTAAGACTTTTTAAGGCCTAAAATTTAGATTTTGGAATTTAAGACATTTTATGATTCGCGGAAACCCTGTTTAAATACAATAGCCCTGATAATTAGTTATTATAATAATGTAGTTCTAACTCCGACACTATTAGTAACAACTACTAGAAACAAGTTTAAACCCATGAAGAATTTGGTAAAAAAAAAAAAAGAAAAGAAAAAAAAGAAAGGGAATTTACAATAATACATAAAATAATGACAAAAGACATGAGAACAAGTAACAAGAAAGAAACTTATTCCTGTCTTTCAATAAGTGCTTATGTGCATTTAGGAGACCTAGGCAGTCCACTCAATAGAGGTAAAGTTGGTTTTATATTCACACATTCGTTCATTTAGAAGTCTCTATATTGTTTACCATGTTACTTTGAATATTTGATTGGAATTAGCATGCAAGTGTGACTTGAAAACAACATTAACACTGTTTATTTGACTGTGAACAATGTTGTACTTTGATAGTCATTTGCTGCTAATATGATTTCACTGTTTAGAGTTTGCAAATAATACTTTTATGAAATTATATTATTAAGGGGAAAGTCTGAATATCTAAATATAAAACCAACTATACTTCTATGTACACTCAGGGCTGCAAGATGGATTTAATTTAGTATTTTTATTATTAAAATATATCTGAATGAGGATCAAATGACTGAGCTGGTGTGTGAGAATAAAAACCAACCTGTTTGTTCCTGCAGATCTTCCTGTTTGACTGTGAATGTTTCTTTAATCTTCACATCTTCACTCTCCTCTTTAATAAACGCCATCTTTATAATAGTGTGGAGATCAGTCGCTTCAGCAGGAGTTTTTCTCTGTGTTTGGACACTTTATCCTGTTTAAAATTAACAAAACAATAAAAATGTTCTGTTTAAAATAAATAAAACAATGAACAGAAACAAGATAACTTCTCTTTAAACGTGTCTTCATATGAGTAATCAACAAAAAGAAATCGGGTAAAACGTTTCTTTAAAACACTAATTACACACTTTATTCAAACAATAGCTCTCAGATAATGAAATAGTACTACGTTGTATAAAAAGTTAAAATAATATTTCCAACAGCAGGAACATAATTTAATATCGTATAAAAAACCTAAAACTTCAGAACTTTAACTTTAAATCGGTTTATATCTGTAAACGTTTTAAAACAAACCTTACTGCAATTTTTTTTTTTTTTTCCCCAGGAATCATTTATTCTGATGCTTTTATTGGATTTATTGATCTTTTTTTTTTTTTTTTTTATTGAACAAACCGGGATGTACAGAGTTATACATAAAAACAGTATACAATGGAATTAACAACAAAAATTAATCGTGTACATTAAGTATTTTTTCCAGTAGTTGAGATGTCTTAATAGCTTTGGTATTACTTTGTATAGCAGTGAGGGAATCATAAAAAAGTTTTAGATCAATGAAAAATAGTTTACAATTTGGTACAGTCAGCATACATTTTGTTTTGTGGATGTGATACTTTCCAAATAAAATAAGAATTTTTGCTTTTTTGTCCATTTCCAGTAATCCAGAGTTGCAGTCCGTAAAAAAAACCATTTGCTCAGTTATACTGATTAATTTATAAAACACTTCAAAAAGTAGTAAGGAAACATGGGACCAAAACTGTTTTGTGTAACTGCAACTGAAAAATAAATGAAGAATTGTTTCCGGTTCCTTTTTACAAAAACAACACAAGGGTGAAAAACCTTCCTTAAACTTACTTATAAAATCATTGCATGGATAATATCTATGTAATATTTTAAAATTTGTTTCTTTTACTTTATTAGGAATAATGTATTTTGTAATATCTGACCAGATTTTTGGGGAAAAGAAGAATGAAGGGAATGCTTGTTTCCATTTAACCATTGCAATTGGAGGAACACTTTTATCTGCAGTTAGGATATTCCTGATATAATTGTTATTACATTTTTTATCTTTGATAGAAAGGCCCTTAAAACCTTACTGCAGTTGAAACATAGCGCTGATGCGGCGCCGCCTGATGACGTCACAGGCTACGCCAAAATAAAAGTATTTTTTGTTTAGCTTTTTTGCCACTTACTGTTGCATTCATGACTTACTGATACATTTCGCCCATCTTTTTCTCTTTACACTATATCTGCTCTCTCTCTGTCTCTCTCTCTCTTCTCACACACAAACCTTCTCAGATAGCAAACCGATGTTGATTCAACGTTGAATAAGGGGTTCGGGGGAGAAGAGACTTTCCTGAGGTACATTTAAAGTGCTTTTAAAACTTATAAAATGGCAAGAAATGTAATAATAATAAATAATAATAATAATCTCACAATTATTAAGAGAGGAAATAGCTATGAAAGGAAAATAGTTTATTGTAGCCACAACTGTTTGTTTTGTGTCTACACAAATCCATTTTGTCAAATACTACATTAGTAGTCATATTAACTTAAAATATTGTAATTATTATACGTGTATAAAATAGACCTATACGTTATTGGCAGCAATGTATAATCTTATTTCAAGTTTGCATTTTATTTAAAATGATTAAGAAATGTTTATATTAATTTACTAATTCAATTTACTCTAACATTACAGAAAACACATTATGTTTACCAATCGCACTAACAATAACACTAAGCTGCTTCTTTTTAAAGGATAAAAATTGAGTAAAAAGTGTACTTAAAAAAGAGGCACCAGTTCCAGCTGCCACAAAAAGGCAATGGACACAGAATAAAATAGCTTGCGTCAAAAAGACAGAGAATCAGGGATAACAGCAACAAACATTTTAAAAGAAGAAGACCTTGTTGAACTCATGAAATGCACAGACATACGTTCAACATGAGTCTACCTCAAGGGCCAGTCTTGCAGTTTTTTTGTTTTTGTTTTTTGCATCCAACGAAACAGTTAGGAGTTGAATTAAAACAGATAGCTGGATTGACATTTTAAAAAATGATACAAAAAAAGTTTAGAAATAAAAGGTAAAATGCAAATGCATAATTTAAATGGTGTAATGGTTGATTTTTATAATTGTCTATAATGTATTCATATACTTTTATTTACTTCTGTATTTATTAAGTTTTTGTATGTTTGTTGTTTTGTTTATCTTTTAGAACCCATACTGTATTGCTAACAGCAGTGACAGAATTTCTTTCTTTCATTCCAATTACAGCAAATAACTCCTGCAGGAATTATAAAATCCTGCAGGATTTGTCACTTGCTTGGATCCACTGTGAAACCTGTAAGAAATTCCTGCACATATCGTCAATGTGTCCTACAGGATTTTATAATTCCTGCAGTACTGCAGCTGTCCTGCAGGGGGAAAAATAGATCCTTCAGGATTCCTGTAAAAAGTACTGCATGATTCTAAAACCTGTAGAGTTGCCTGCACATATTGTCATTTTGTCCTACAGGATTTCATAATTCCTACAGGATACCAGCAGGTTCCTGCAGAAAAAAATGAAGAAAACACAAGGACAGAATAAACTCAATGAATGTATCCTTACATTATGTAGGAACTGAAATACCTTAGGTAATTTGAGAAGGCAGTGAAAGCAGTCATTTTATATTCAGGGAAATCCACATTGAAGGACTGATGTTACTTTCTCCAATACAGCAGGTGGCGGTGTGCAGTTTTACTCTGCACTCTGACTCTACGCACAGCCAGAAGAAGAAGAGGTGCGTAGCGTCTAAACTTTCTTCTCCACATCCAGCAGTTAATACTGCTTTAGGTAAAGTCACGCATGTAACCCTTTGCATGTCATTTGATTGAATGTAAATCCCGCATGTCCTTTGGGCCCCTGCATGTCCTTATCTACTCTGTTCTGAGTGTGACGGATGTTTTTACTGAACTCGTGTGACCGTAGACTGTAAAGTATAGGGTGTGACCATTGAGATGAAATCTGTGAGTCATAGTTCAGTAAATCAAAGTTCTCCAATATATTTCATATGTTTTTCAATATGTACATGTTTGCTGAATTCAGCTTTTAACATGCTTTACAGCACTGCTCGACGTTGATCACTTGTATAATGTCTGCGCGAGTGCGCGTTAACGATCGCGTGCATGAGCGACCTGGGCGTTCCCGAGAGAGTATTTCACGGAACAGCGCCCCCTGGTCACAATTTTCGGCACAACCCTTCAGAAACGAAAGTGAAAAAGCTTGTTGAATCCATCATTTACCTACACTGAATAGCTTTATATCTTTAATGTCCTGACAGAACCTGTATTGCTGAGTTCACTGCATGATTTTCAAAGTAGTCGTGTCACCGATGTTTTGGTAAAGTTAGTTTTATATTCGCACATTTGTTTATTTAGAAGTCTCTATATTGTTTACCATGTTACTTTGAATATTCGATCGGATTTAGCATGCAAGTATGACTTGAAAACAACATTACACTGATTATTTGACTGTGAGCAATGTTGTACTTTGATAGTCATTGGCGGCTAATATGATTTCACTGTTTAGAGTTTCCAAATAATTATTTCATGAAATTATATTATTAAGGGCAAAGTCCGAATGTGCAAATATAAAACCAACTTTACCTCTATTGTTTTCACACTGCATGACAGTCTGGGCTAGCGTTTTGTTGCTGCTTTGTTTACACTGCCATATGGACAGGGGCTTTCACACTGTATCACAGACAACTTTGTTTTAACCGAAACAACCAAAAACACGTAGTATATATTTGTTTATTAACTACATAAGAAGTAAAAGCATAATAGAGTAGAAAATATACATATTTGTTCACCTGCACAGCAAATTCATTGGTGTTAAATTTCAAGTGTTGTGGTAATTCAGAGTAAAGTGTTAAAATTCTAGAGTTAGATAAAGGTAAAATAACCCTCTCGGCGTTAGAAGCTGATTTGCCTCCTTGTCACACAGAGTAACATGTATCTACCTTTGTAGAAAACTCTTGTATTTGAGAAACTAATCAGAGTGTCTGAAATCTCACCACACCCTCATTCACCTGGCCCTTAAATTAGTCAATTAGTTTAGTCCACTAGACAGAGTGAATGACCACAAATAAGTGAATTCAGACACCTGCTGTTGAACACCTGCTGTTAACAAGCACAATCACTGAAGGAATAAGAAATTGAAGGAAGAAATAAAACTACAGACACAGCCTCACACCAAACCAACTGAATTAAAACAGAGGATTAAACAACTCCATTAAATAATAGCATTAGCAGCTTCACTGATTACAGTTTGACTTCATTTCTGTAAGAATATTTGACAATGAACAGAGGTTTACATTTTTTTTATTAAAAATATTTCATTTGACCTCACCATCATGGAGATCAGACGCTGCTTATTTGAGCTCTTGAAGCTTTACTCTTATATCATGTTTCTCTGGCTGCTATAGCTGTGTTTCTAAAACTCATTAGCTATAGCAAGAAAGGTCAAAAGAAACTATACTGTTTATGCTTAATTGTTATAGATTTTATTTCAGGTGTTTGTTAAATTGATTCATAAAAATATGCAAATATAGTTGTATTAAAGCTGCATGGGACAATACTACTGGCAGTCTGCTGCTCTTCATAGAAAATTCAACAACTAATTAGGATGCAATTAATAATTAGAGTGTCATGCACTAAACATTCAAGCTCCAGCTTGCTCTTTATGACACACAGGCATCAAGAATCAGGACATGAAACTCAACCGTGGTTGCTAAAAAAAAAAGCTGCATAGTTCATGCCGCAATGCATGCTGGGTGCCAGCATAGTACAAAGCTCCCAGCATGCATTGCAGCATGAATAAATTATGCAGCTTTATGTTCTTACAATCTCTTTCTTTTCCTTTATTTTGT